TTAGAATCATCAGCACCTTGGTTATCCCTCCTGTAGGAGCCCGTTCTGCTCAGACCACTTGCCCCATTGCCAGACCACCCGCCCCATGTCATAAGGCTGGGGCACAGTGCAGCACTATCTAGCATTGTGGATGATTTTCCCCCAACAGATCAGGAAAGGGACACGGCAGCAGACAAGGATAGGGCTGGGGGAGGCAAGCCCACAGCTCCGCCTCTTCTGCTGAAAGCCTGACCCTCACAGGAGCCAAGCCGCCTCCCCCTACCACAGGTGGGTGTGTGCGCAGCTCCAGCCTCCCCGGCCCCAGAGTGCTAGGGGTAACAACACTTCACCCCAGAACTCCTATAGCAGGTGTCCTGGGGGCAGAGTGTGGGTGGAGTCAGGCCTATTATACCGAATGCCTATGGAAAGGGACTTTTCCCCAGTAGACGGCATGGCCAAGTTGACTTTGGACCTGCATTTCCAAGACCACGTCTTCACTTCCTGGAAGATGGATGCTGCAGCGGTCAATCTTCTGGAGTTTGATTTAGCGAGTCTAGTAAAGACACAATAAATCAAATGCTGAGGGTGCCCCTGTCAACACTGGAACTCCTCACAAGGAGTAAGGGAAGTCAACGGGAGCATTTCTGCCATCAACCTCCCGCTTTGAGGACAGCGCCGAAGCTCAGCTTAAGGTACGTCGACTCCAGCTATATATTTAACGTACCTTAAGCCAACCTTCCCCATAGTGCGGGCTCGACCCAAATGAAGAGCCTAAGCACCATGTCATCTTTCCTTCTGCAGTTTGCACTTTCACCTGACTGCTTGCAAGAAAATGACGTCTGATTTCAGAGCCTGCTGGTGCAGATGGGTGACTGTGTGATGCTGAGAGTTAAGCCCTTGAGAACTAGGGCTTGGAAGGGGGATTTTCTGTGTGGGGCTCAAAAGAAGGGTGGAGGGTACAAAACAGGTGCATGCGGGGGAGATTTAATAGCCACAACAGTGCACTAGCGGTGAGAACAAATAAGTTTTCCTGTAATGCTGAAAATCCCTGAAGATCAGTTGATCATATGTAACTGAGCCCAAGTTCTGTTGCTCCAGGACCTCATTTCACCCTCCCCAAAGTCATCCTTGTCTTCTTTAAAGAGCCCCTAGCTCTGGCAGAGACAGGTGGCAGGTGGACTATGGCTCACAGGAGCTCACAAAGAAGGGAGGTGACCAATGGGTTCCCCCAAGGATCCATACTAGGCAGAGCCATCCTTAGGGGGAAAAGGGTCCCAGGACAACCCCCTCTCCACCAAGGAACCACCCTCTGCCTCAGCGCACCCCCATGCCACCCTCTGCCCCACCCATGCTCCACCTCTTCCACCTCCTTCCCCAAAGCCCACTCTCCCAAGTGACACAACCCAGGGGATTACAGGGGGCCTGGTGTGGGGTGGTAGCAAGGGTCAGGCCCCCCCCCACTCTCACTTCCCCAGCCTCTGCCCACTGTGCTCTGCTCCCCTGAACCCGCATCACTCAATGGAGCTGACAGGTTGGGTCCCTCCACTTCCTGCTACCACAGTGAGGCCGAGTGACCTGGCTGGGAGATGGTGGCGGAATGGAACAGGCTGCTGTGTGTTGCACCACTTCCTGCAGCTTCTGCTAGTGCAGTGAGTGCTTGGGGTCCAACCCCCTATTGCCAGCCCCAGGTAATCCCCTGGGTCCCCCTGGCTTCTGCAGGCTAACCTCCACATCCTGTCCATAGGACATTTGGGGTGGCAGCAGTGGACCTCCCCCAAAGCACAGGGCCCACAGTGGCCACCCCAAAAAGTCCTATGGACGGGGCAGTTTTGGTACTGGGCCTTGCGCTCTTCAGCGTATTCACTAATAATCTAGGAAGGGAGGCAAACAGGCAAGTGGCACCTTTTGCAGTTGATAACAAGATACCGAAGAAAATGTGACGTTCAAAGCAGACTGTGAAGAGCTACTAAAGGAATCACACAGGAGGTCATGGAGTCCAGCCCCCTGCCCAAAGCAGGACCAACCCCAACTAAATCATCCCAGCCAGGGCTTTGTCAAGCCGAGACTTAAACACCTCTAGGGATGGAGACTCCACCCCCTCCCTAGGGAACCCATTCCAGTGCTTCACCACTCTCTTAGGGAAATAGTTTTTCCTAATATCCAACCTAGACCTCCCCCACTGTAACTTGAGACATTGCTCCTTGTTCTGCCATCCCTCACTACTGAGAACAGCCTCTCTCCATCCTCATTGGAACCCCCCTTCAGGAAGTTGAAGGCTGCTCTCAAATCCCCCCTCCCTCTTCTCTTCTGCAGACTAAATAAGCCCAAATCCCTCAGCCTCTCCTTGTAGGTCATGTGCTCCAGCCCCCTTATCATTTTGGTTGCCCTCTGCTGGGCCCTCTCCAATGTGTCCACATCCTTTCTCTGGTGGGGAGCCCAGAATTGAACGCAGTACTCCAGATGTGGCCTCGCCAGGACCAAATAAAGGGGAATAATCACTTCTCTAGATCTGCTGGCAATGCTCCTCCTAATGCACCCTAATATGCCATTAGCTTTCTTGGCTACAAAGGCACACTGTTGACTCATATCCAGCTTCTCATCCACTGTAATCACCAGATCCTTTTCTGCTGAGGAAAAATGGCAGATGGAATTCTACACCGAGATGTGCAATACAATGCTCATTGGAAGAGGTAATCCCAGCTAGACACATACCACGAGGGGTTCTAAATTACCTGTTACCATGCCAGAAAGATCTTGATGTCACAATGGGTAATTCTCTGAAAGCTTTTACTCCTTGTGCAGCAGCAATCACGAAGGCTATCGGTATGTTAAGGATTATTTATTATTATGAAAGGGATAAAAAAAACCCAGAAAATCCCCCATCATGCCTCTTTACGAAGCCACAGAAAGCCTGCACCCAGAGTACTCTGCCTGGGTTTGGGTGACATCTCGAAAAACCGACAGAAGAACTAGAAAAGATTGAGAGGAGCAGAAATTTGGTACTAGGGGGTCTGTCATGCAGGGCCGGTCCTAACCAATTGGCGGCCCCGGACAAAAATTTTAAAAAACCCACCACCACCAAAAACCCGCAGGGGAAAATTTGTTGAGCAAAAAAAAAAAGTGTCGGAAAGCCGGGGAGAGGATTCGGGAGGTTGGGCCAAAATGCATTCGCGGCCTGCCTCTAAGACCGGCTCTGTCAGCGGCCCCTTCAAAATGGTGACCCCGGGCAACCGCCCGGCTCACCTGCCCCTAATACCGGCTCTGCTGTCACCGTGCCTGCTGCTGGTCACTCCAGGAAATCAACTCTCCTGCTGCAAGGCGGTGTCCCAGCCTCTGTGGCAGGTCTCCTGCTGGTTCAGCCCCATGTCCCTTCCTGCCCATGGTGCCCTTTCCTCACTGTCCCATCTCAGTGCTCCTGCACTCTGGGGTCCTCCCCTCCCAGGGAACCCCCAATTCCCCTCTGCCCACCTTGCCTCAGTGACCCTCTGCCAGTCGTCATCAAGCCTCTGCCTCAGGGGCAAACTGTAGCCTAAATGGCCGCTTATCACTGGCAAGGGGGTGTGGGTGGACCTGCTGCCTTTTCCTATCCTGGCTGTTTCATTGCAGCCCTAGTAACCTCAGGCCTTGCTTTAGGCCCTGCAGCCTGGGAGTGAGGTCAGACCAGACCTTCCCAGCTCTGCCTGCCTTTCTCCAGCCCTGCCCTGGCTCAGGAAGGCTCCAACTTCCCTGGCAGCTAGGTCCTTCCTGCTCCACAGCTGGACCAAGACAGGCCCAGCTGGACCCTAATTAGCTGTATCTGCCTCATCTGCGGCTCTCCAGAAGTAACAGTTTAAAAAAATGTTATCAATAAACTGGAAGAAAATATGAAATTGCTGGCGGTAACACGTGTGGGTGACAAAATATGAGCAGAGAAGTAAATAAGGCTGAGGCCACAGCAGTGATGTAGAAGGATCGGGATCCCCGGGGAAGCTGGACCCATGTGAACAAAACAGGTTTCCCAGAGCCAAATGTAAGATCCTACCCTAACCCCCAAGCAGGCAGGCCACACTCCTGGAATGGAGAAGGGTCAAACTGGGCAAGTCGCTCCACAGGCACCCCCAGGGCGACACTGTGGTGAATGGGGCTACAGCCATCACTAGACACATGAGCAGAGGAGTGAGGAGGGAGGTAACACTGCCTCTGTGAGGCTGAGGAGACTGCAGCCTGTTTAGGGGGCCCCATTTTGAAAAGGACATTGAAAAACTGGAGATGGGACAGCAAAGAGCCCAGTGTTTTGAGGGCTGAAGAAAAATGCCTTCTTGTGAGCTACTGAAAGGAGCCCAATCTGTTGAGCATCTACAAAAGAAGGCTGAGAGGTGACGTCATTGAAGAGTCTAAGTGCCTTCCTGGGGAGAAAATGTCAGGCATTAAAGGGCTGTTTAATGTCATAGAAAAAGGCAGAACAAGACCAGTGGCTGGAAGGTGAAAACAGACACATTCATATAAAAATAAGGCAAACATTTCATAGTGAGGATGATTCGCCATTGGAACAAACTACCAAAGCAAGGGGCGGAGTCTCCATTTCTTGATGTCTCCTAATAGAGGCTGGTGAGTGCTTGGATCAGAATCTAGCTACAGGAGGGCTGGGATATGCAGGGGTCAGATTCTGGCCTTAAAGTTACTAATTAATGAAAAACTAAGCGTAGCACAGGAAACAGCCTCTAGGACTTTACTGTGCAACCGGCTTGACCCCCAGGCTTAGCAGTCATGAAGTGGGATGATCGAAGGGAAGTCACTCAAATATCCCGAGAGGCTGACTGTGATCAGGACACCAGCCTTACCGGGGAGGGTGTGGCAGTGACATCACAAAGGCCCGTTGTAGGACCTCAGCTTATTGGGGGACAGTGGTGGGGAGTTGTGACCTCATAGAGAGACCTTGGCATCAGCCAGGCAGGACAGAGGCACAAGGCAGGGGCAACCTCAGAGACTCCTGTAGCTTTGCAGCAGTAAGGCTCCTTCTCAAGGTCTCCCCCAGGGAATGAGAGAGAATTCAGATTAATGTACATGAGCATGAGGAGGAACCTTGTCAGAGTTTTCTCCTTCCCTGCCACTGATTTTGTAATCCCTGTTTAGAAGGTAAGAGCCTCAAAGTGGTTTGGACCCTGCTCAGTCTGATCTCCCTGGTCCCAGGTGAATTCTAGGCACAGAAATCACTACGTTAAGTTGATTTAATTTCCTACCAAGGACTTTATCCTGTAGAATCACTGGGGGGCATTGGAGGCTTGTCCTTTTAGTTTTCCCTTTTCTCCTTCCCTCCCTCTTTCTCTTCTTCTCTTGCTTCTTTCCCCCTCCCCTTTTTCCATTTTTCCCTGCCTCCACCAAGGAGGGGGGTATGTGTGTCAGGGCAGGAGGGGCAGTCAGTGTGGGAGGCTCTCACAAAGAGGTGGGACTGGAAGAGTGATCCTCTCTGCTGGTGACCTGGGCCATCCTTTTGGACTTCTGCTGAGACCACTCCATCTCTCAGAGGCATAGCTAGGCTGTTACACGCCCACGGGGAAAGGCAAAATTCTACACACACACACACACACACACACACACACACACACACACACACACACACACACCCCGCCGCCAGGCTGACCCTCACACTCGGGG